GCTCCCTCCCCTCCCTCCACCTGCTTGAGCCCTCCGGCGTCGCGTGCAGTGCTGGGCTGGCGCCGGCTGGCAGGGCCGCTGCTTGGTACCGCAGTGCCCGCAGGCTTTGCTTCTCCAGAAGCAGACAGGGACAGAGCTGAGGCCCCCGCTGTCCCTCTGTCGGCCAACAAGCCTTCTACCTGTTGAGATGCACAGCGGTCCTGCCTCGGAAGCCCCCAGGTCACCCCCAGATCTTCCTGTAAATTAAAATCACACTGGAAACGGTAGCAAAGGCTGTGCATCTTCCCCTCCCCTCGCACACAGCCGCTCAGTACCAGGCAGGTGGAAAAGAACACGGACTTCCATTCATCTGTCCCCCTCTCAGGGTTGGGGGCGTGGGGCGGGTTTCCGCAGGGTTCTACAGGAAGAGACCTCTGTCTCCCGGGGAAGCTTGGCTGGAGTCGGTTCTCGTCTGGGTAGCACCTCTCTGACCCGTTTCTCTTTTCTCCAGTGCAAGCCCTGGCCGAGGCCAACGCCGTGAAGCTGCACAGAGCCACGTTCTGAAGGCCGCCTCTGCCCCCCGAGGTCCTGGTCCCCCACCCCGGCCCCCCGCGCCTGCGCTCCCGTGGGAATGCTGCAGGGAGCCAGGCTGGGGGCCGGGGTTGCCGCTGAGAGGATGCCTCAGTGTCCACACGCCCGCCACGCCCGGCCCCGAAGCCCCTCGCTACTCAGATGGTGGTCCTCGGCCAGGGCCCGAGAGGGCGGGCAGGGAGCACCCTCCTGTCTGGTGCCCAAGTCACAGGGAGCTAGGCCTGGCCCTGCCCGGGCTGGTGATGGCCTTACTGGAACATTTCCTGATGAAGAGGATGCCCTGGTGGGAGAGACGCCCTGAGCCGTCTTAGGTTAGGACTAGGGGAAGATGGACACGCTGCCTCTTCTGGGCCCTCTTGACACCGAGGACGGCACCTGCCATCATGTCCTTCCCCCATCAGCCCCACCCTACTGCCCCGGCTGTACCCAGGGCTTTGACACATCTCTGCTTATGGGTGCTCCTTGGGGGTCCAGTGGAGACTGACCACCCTGCTTGAGCCAAAGACAAGATGACAAGACGTGGGGAGAGGCTCCTCGGCTCCCGGAGGGGACAGTGCTGGCTGTGGGTAGAGAGCAGCACGCAGGTCTGTGCAGCGTCTGAGGGCAGGTTGAGAAGGGGTAGAAGAGAGAAAGGGAGAGTTGGAGGCGAGTGGGAGGGAGGACAAGGAAGCAGCAGGAATCGTTTGCAAGAAAAAGGACAAGGCAGAGATGCAAAGAGGGGGTACGGGATTGGTTTCCCCAGGATGGAGCCTTAGCTTCGTGCCAAGTACAGTGCCAGACTGTCAGCTCCGCTCCTCCACCGGGTCCCCCAGATCCGCGGGCTGCCCGCACACTGGCTCCCGGAGGACCCACCAGCAAGCATGTGGGGGCCTGAGGCCGTGGGGACGAAGGTGTGGGGATGCTGGTGTGGGTGAGCAGGTTGGAAGATGGCTCTTTCTTAGGTCTGGGCCTAGCGTCTGCCTCCCCCTACTAGGCTCAGGGGCCAAGAGAAGGACCTGTCTTCTGTAGGGTGTAGTCAGCCTTGGGGCCTTTCCTAACCTTGTTCGGGACATTTCCTTGTCCCCCTTCCCCTTGGAATGGGCTGTGGGCCAGCTGAGCGAGTGCCCTGGAGAGGTAGCACAGCCTTAATCTGGGAGGCCAGATTCTAGGACCCCACCCCGCATTCCAGGCGTCCGGATGAGGCTGTATGGAAGGACTCCCTTCCGGCCTGGCTGTCTCACAATCCACCTACCCAGGGAGGCCAGTGGAGGAGACACAGAAGCAAAGCTCATTCTTCCTCCTCTGCGGCTCGTCTTCGAGGACTGTAGCCAGAGAGGAGGGAGGGGAGAGAGTGAAGCTGGAAAAACCTCGGCCCCTGGGCCTTCTCTCTGCCAGAGCTGATGCCCGGAGACTTCCCAAGAACGACTACTTTATCTGCCGCCAAGTCTTCTCCACCCCTTCACGGCTGGGACAGTTACTGGTTCATATGCAAGTAAAGATGGCAGTTGATTCAACAAATATTTATCAAGCACCTTTTATGTACCAGGCACTGTTCTAGGTGCTTAGGATATTCTCGTGCTTCTGCGGGATTGCAGGCTGGGGAATTTCACTTCACTTTTAGCAGAGGTGTTGACCGTGACCTTTGGCTACATTTCCCATCTTTAGCACAGCTCGAGCACCCCAAACCTGTTTTTTTTTTCCCTCCCCTACACACTGGTGGGCGGGATTGGCCCTCTCTCTCTTTCCGGCACCTTTCTCCACCCACAAGAAACGGCTCTTCGGGGGCCTTCCATGCCTCCTCCTTTCTTTGCCCGTCTCTCCTTTTTTAAAGTGGTATCTTTAGAACTACATGTAAAATACCAAGGATTAACGCCTGCCACCTCGCTCTCACCTCCTGTTTCATAAAGCTGGCTCTTTATGTTGCTTTACATGCCTTAATATATGTTTTATGAAGATTATACATATTATAGATATATACATAATATATATATTTGTTTGGATGTCTGGTCCTTTCCCAGAACTCCTGCCCAGGCCCGTTTTCTCCCCTTCACTTTCCACGCCATTCCTACCTAGCACGTTGTGGCCACACCCCATGCCTTTTGATCCAAAGAAGGGGAGAGGACAGACTTATTTTAAGACAGATCTATTTTACGCTTTTATTATAAAAGCAAATCTATTTTCAAAATGTGCAATGTCTGAATGGAATTGGCCAATGGTAGGAGGAGACTGGGGCGGCTGCCTCTAGGTCCGACCCTGTGTCCTTCCCTATCCCCCCCCCCCCCCCCCCGGCAGCTTCCTCGTCCTATTCTCCAGTCTGCAAAGGACCAGTCCCCAGAGCTCACCCAGAGAGCATCTCACCAGGGCATCCAGGCTCTTGGAAGTCCTGGTCTAAGGATTTGATTACAACTGTCAACTCTTGATGACCGTCTAAGGTTACGGGATGTGAATCCTCTCAAAGGAAATGTTTACAGTTGTGTGCACAAAAGCACACCCGTGCGGGCACACACACTCCCCCGATGTGCTCCTGGACCTCCTCCCTTCATCGGTCTGCTGGAAAGGGCAGACAGTTTAATGGCAGCCTATGCTAAACAGCACCAAGAATTCTGTTCCCTGATGGAGCCAGGATGCAGTGCAAAGGCCAAAGGAAAACCGTTTGGGATCACAGGTCCTTCAGCACAGACACATTCAAGTTCCTCGGACTTCTCACACTCCTTGATCCCTTTCCAGTCTGGGTCACATCGACGACCTCTGTCTCCCTCTGTGACCTTTCCTCTGGGGGCTGTTGATAAGGGGACGGTACCTCGGTCTGGCATCCAGACTGCGAAGTCAGCTTCTGGGCTGAAGCGAGTCCCACGGACAAGGTAACATCTCAGCCTTGCCCAGGAAGCCCCCCGGGACTTTCATCTGGAGGGCTGCCGCTGGGGCGCTGAACTCCGCCGGCTCGGCCTTCCACGCTCTTATCCGCCCACAAAGTAGGCAAGGGGCTCTTGCCTTGCAAGGTTTCGGGCACAATGGAAGTCTTTTGTCCAGATCCGGAATCAAAGGTTTGGGACTGTCACAGAGCTCCTGGCCAGCATTTGAAGCCTGACCTCCCAACTCTGACATTTACTGACACCCTATTCCCAGCCTGGAGCATCTTGTTATGAATGAACAGGGCCCAGACGGAGGCCCAGGGCTAAGTGACCCACCGGGAGACAGCCCTGGTTACTATTCTAGGGCCTTCCCAATTAGCACATTACCTTCCTGATCAATAACCAAGAGGCTGTAATCAAATACCGCTACTGTCACTTTAAAGATTTTCTGAGGTCGCAAGCTGTGCATACTTGCTCTCCTGCCTTGGGGAGAGGCATGGTCTTGGGGCAGGGCTGAGAATAGCAAGACGGAATCAATTCCTTTCCCCTGTAGGCACCCCCCCACCTGGCAGCTCTTAAAACTAAGGAAAATATGAAATATACGTATATATACATATATCTATTTATGCACATACTGGGGCCAATTTGATTTGCTAGCATTAGACAATAAACCATACAAGGAAATGTATGATCTCAGTGTCTTTATTTAGTATAAAAGTGACCTTAGAAGAAAAGTTAAAGTTAGATAAACAGAGGGCATCTCTGTTGGGGACCAAACATCTGTAGCAGCTGCTTTAGCATCTTTCTAGCCAACAAGCCCCTCCCCGGGGAGGGGCCTCCTGACTGAGAGTGAACGTTCGCTTCCCCCGCCCCGCAGCATTCTTTCTAGATCTAGGTACTGAAGAATCCCAGTGAGCTCTGCATTTGTATCTTGCAAGTTTGTATAAACCCAATACAGGAAATAAAATGAATGGTTTGTACACGTGCCGTGTGTCTCTCACTCTGTGCCTGCCTGTGGCTGGCCTCGCGGTTCCGGGCAGCTTACAAGCTTGGCAGAAAAGGGGAGAGGGTCTGGGGTGGAGCCTTCCCTGTGGCTAAAAGCAAAGCTGGGTCCGTGGTATGCTGCCACCGCGGTCATCTCTTCTGTCCGGGTAGCCCCGAATCAAGACGTGTCCCAAGCAAGGTCCTGGGTAACGAACATTAATTAGATCAGTGTTCAGATCCTGGAGACTTCCCTTGACTCGTCTCCGAGACTGACAGAACTACAGGAGAAGAAAATTCTTAGGTGTTCTCAATTACTGCACAGTGCCCTGTACTTCTGCTTGAGGGGACAACAAGGTAGATGATTTGGGGAGGGGTATCAGAAAAGCCACCCCAAATTATACTCATCCAGCCACAGTGTTTTGGGTTTATGACCTTTGGCAGGTACTCAGTGATTATCAGCTATGGATCCTCAGTGTGAAGGACTTTATCAGAGCTTCTCAATTTGAAATCTTGAGTCATAGTCAAGAAGCCCCGTGAATTCTATGCGGTGGAGAGTAGAAAGAGAGAGTGAGCCCAGGATAGCGGCAGGCCTCAGCTGGGCCCCTGCAGGATGTCTCGGGAGAGGTGGAGGCATTAATGGTTCAAGGTAGAGAAGAACTTTGAGAAAGAAGAAAGGGGAAGGCAGGCCTCTTTCAATTCCTGATTTTGCTTTAGTTTGGTTCTAAGGGCTGATTTCAAACTCTGGACACCTGTTCTCCTTCCTAAAGAGCTAGCAGAGAGCATGTGTGTGTTTAACAAATAATAGGAGTATATTTGGGGGTTTTGTCACATCCCCAGGAGAGCTAGACGCCTGTGGTGCTTTGTGAATCCAGGAGAACTGGGATCGAAGCAGACTCAAGAGAAAAGCCACTGGAACTGGAGGAGGTGCCCTGGAGAACTTGCGGCTCTCCAGGGCCTGTGTCTGTCTGCAGTTCCCTCGGGGCCAGAGCCGGAGGCTTGGAGAGGAGGTGGTGGGACAGGAGAGCACAGGACATGGCTGGGTGTTGCTGTCTCCACAAATGGGCTGGTTCCTGTCCAAGAACGATGCCCATGGGGGGAAAAAAAAAGAAAAGAAAAGAACGATGCCTATGGATCTCTGCCTGCTCCAACTCCCGGCCC